CCGGGCGCGCCGGCTCTGGCTGAGCCTCCAGCCCCTGCTGCAGGGAGAGAGCAGGGTCAGAGCTCGGACCCCACCCCTGAGCCAGCCAGTCCCCTGCCCTGGGCCAGTGGGAGTCTGGCACGTTTCCCCTTATTTGGCCTGTCTGGTCTCACCGGCTCCATCTCTTCCCGCAGGGGCTCTGTGATTTTCTCCACCAGGGCTCTCAGCCGCGTGTCTGGGGTCATCCTGTCCCTGGAGCAGGGAGCCCGGCACTCGGGGCACTGGGACCCCCAGGCCGAGACCCAGTGCCAGTGAGCCGAGAGGCAGCCCCGGCAGAAGTTGTGGCCGCACTCGATGGAGACGGGGTCCTCCAAGACATCCAGGCAGATGGAGCAGGTGACGTCCTCCCGGAGTCGCTCCATCCCTCTGGAGCTCATTGAGAGTGGGGACGCGGTGGGTGAGAAGTGGCACTCGGGAGCAGAAGGGCTCTGATAACAGCTGATCTCTAGCCCCGGTGCGCCCCTTCCTGACTGCAGGAGTCTGGAAGGGGGGGAGGAGAGAGAGAACATGGGAATATTTCTGTGAACAAGCGGGGTGACTCAGTTTACCTGCCCATTTTGTGTCCCTGTCCCCGGGGTGGCACCAGAGCGAGAAGACGGATTCCAAGAAGCCATGGTGGGGATTGGTAGATTCCCAGACCAGGAGGGACCAAGGCTGAGCTCCTGGATAACAAAGGCCAGAGAATTGCCCCCAGTTAATTTCTGTTTGAACGAGAGCAGATCTCCTAGTAACACATCCCACCTCGACGGAGAGTCCACCGCACTGCTTGGTACATTGTTCCCATGGTTAATTCCCCTCCCTGGTAAACACGGACATCTTCTTTCCAGGCTGAATGTGTCCGGCTTCGACTTCCAGCCAATGGATCATGTTACAGCTTTCTCTGCTATCCCGAAGAGCCCATTATTAAATATTGGATCCCCGTGTAGGTGCTTCAAGACTGGGATCAAGTCACCCCTGGAGCGTCTCTTTGTTAAGCTAAACAGCTTGAGCTGCTGGTGTCTCTCACTCGAGGCCATGTTTTCTAACCTTTTAATCATTTCTGTGACTCTTCTCTGACCCCTCTCCAATATATCCCCATCCTTCCTGAACTGCGGGCACCAGAACTGGACCCCGGATTCCAGCAGCGGTCGCACCAGGACCAAATCCCAAGGTGAAATAACAATTCCCCTGTTTATGCATCCTTAGCTCCAGGGGCGGCTCTAGCTTTTTTGCCGCCCCAAGCACAGCTGGCAGGCTGCCTTCGGCGGCACGCCTGTGGGAGTTCCACCGCTCCCGCGGCTTCGGCAACCCGCTGCCAAATTGCCGCCAAATCCGCGGGACTGGCGGACCTCCTGTAGGCGTGCTGCCGAAGGCTGCCTGACTGCCGCCCTCGCAGGGACCGGCAGGGGTCCCCCCACGGCTTGCCGCCCCAGGCACGTGTTTGGTGCGCTGGTGCCTGGAGCCGCCTCTGCTTAGCTCCTTTGGCCACAGCGCCACATGGGGGGCTGACATCCAGCTGGTTATCCCCCATGACCTCCTGCACTCTGTCTGTGTCCCCGGAGAGACCCCCCAGCCCGGGGGCATGGCCGACGCTCTTTGGCCATATCACAGCGCGTGTTGCTGGCTTGTGCCCAGCCTACCCTAGTGATGGGGCTGTTGGTGACACTGGGCTTTTCTCTGCAGCCGACAGCCTGGCAGACGCCATGTGCCAGGGGCTAATCAACGGCTGTGTCGCGCCCGGCAGGGGCACAAGCCTCTGAGAGGAGTTTGATCTTGGTCAGACTCGCTGCTGAGGGCAGCTGGGGAGACACAGGGGCTGCTGGAGCCCGAGTAAAGGAGATACCGAGCTCGGCCTTAGGAAAGGCCACGCGTAGCAAGGAAATAGCTTCCTGTCTATCATGCAGTGAGCTGGGTGCTGATTGGCCGAGCTTTCCTCCCACCGGGGTGAGAGCAAATTCACCCTTTTGCCCTGGTCGAGCCCTGGGGGTTGGGTAGGGAAACTGAGGCACAGAAAGGGAACAGAACATGCCCTGTCCTAACTGCCCTCCCCCAGTGCCATGCTCTGGTCCTGGAGCACCAAAGTCTTCTCTTTTTCTGCTGGAGACTCTCCCAATTTCCCACCTTGGGATCCCTCCCAGCCATCAAGACACTCCGAAGGAGGCCTGCCTAACCCATCGAACCAGCTGTGATGTCTCCTGACCCAGCATCAGGGCCAACCAATTTGTGTTTTCATCCTAAGTAGATATTTTTTCCCCAAAATAGCAAATAGGAATTTTGTTTCCCTCCATCTTTGGGCAAAATCGATCAGGTTTTCATTACAGAGGAGCAGCCAGATTCACAGGACAGTTGGGGTTTTCCTGCAATCCCCAGCTGCCGGAGGCAGGGGATTGCTGCGCTGGGTTAAACCAAAGCAGCGCACACCCAGCCCTCGTGTTTCTGACCCTTGCATCTGGAGTAGGGGAGGGGATCTTGAAAACGGCTCCAAAGACTGGCAAATAAATATATAGAACCCCTCTTCTTTAGTGTGTGTGGGGGAATATATGAGGGGCCGGCTCTCCTTCCCTGGGTTAGCTTGTACCTGTAAATGTCCCGACTGTGGCTAACGCAAGACAAGCCATGTTCTGGGGGATTCCACAGGCCCAAGGGTTTGCCCGGGTTTTAGCTGGTTGAATTTGTCAGAGTTTGACAGTGTTTCAAATCACGCCATGAGCCAGACCCAGCGTTGGGGGTAGATTAGCTGCTCTCTGTGCCTGTCTCTCTGCTGGACAGATGGCGAGGTCCAAACACATGGCAGGAACCCCATGCCCAGCTGCCTGCTGGGAATTTCCACCCTACAGAGAGCTGAGCACTATAATGTGACTGGCCTGCGCCCTAGCACAGCTTAGGAAGGGTGAAACAGGGGGAACGAATGGGAAGACAGGCTGCTCCCCCCACGGTGGGAATAGACAGGAGGGGACAGTCCTGCCCCCTGTGGGAAAAATAGGCTGGGCGGGGGGGGGATGGATGATCCTGCCCCTGGGAAAGGGATGGGCTCAGTGCTTAATTTGTAATGAAAGAGGTGCAGGGCTCAAGGAATTTTTTTACATTCATAACTGAGGCGGGAAGCCCAGAGGTTCCAGGGCTCAGCCCTGGCACAAATTAAGCACTGGATGGGTTAGATTGGGGCAAACACCCTCTACTTGTGCCCCCTCCCACCCCCTGCTCTTACCCGGCCAAATCTTCACTTCTCTCCGTGCAGGCAAAATTTTGTCTGAGAAACAAAAGTGAAACTCCCCGTGCCACTTATGTGCT